CCAAAGGTATGAAATATACTTTGTTATCAGTAGTTAATATACTTCTTTTATTAGTGGCGAATGGTGCATATTTTTAATAATGTAAAATAGATGTACGCTTGGTCGTTTGTTAAGCGACGACGTTAAGAGTTTGCCTTAAAAATGTCTATTTGAAGACGGTAACGTAAATTTATAATTTTTTGATGCTTTGTATTAAGTTGGAAAACAAATTTCGTCGGCTTAGTTCGTAAAACTAGTAACCTCCGTTAATGTAAAAGTACACATTGTGTAGTGTAGGCACAAAAAACAAAATTACTAGAAATAATCATAATTATGACTATCTATGATTATACCTTTATATTATAACTAAAAAAGGGTCTACAGATTATATTTAAAGTTTTAATTGCCAAATATTGCATTTGAAAAGTAAAGAAGGTATTTCGTCTAAAAACGGAGTTGCGTGGTTTTCAAATTTAGCCGACGATTAGCGGAGTATAAAAAAACAATTTTGACCTTGACAAAGCAAAATGGCGAATTAAGCAAGTTTTTCGCATTTGCAAAACGAACTTTCCGTGAATTGACAACTGTAGAAAGTACACTGAATAAGTAGGCCTTGTGTTGTGACGGCTGCGGCTTTGAGATTGCGTTGCGGTCTTGGCACATACAAGTTAACCTTTTTAATGGGCATTACAGCAAGTCCATATTGAAGACGTTTATCACGTTTTGATGGAATGTGTTTGGACCGAGAGACTCAGGAGACAGTTGGGCAGTGTGACCAGCACACGACAGACTGGGTGGTGTAACAGTATATTGGCCGTTTCTTCGTCGAACGAAGCCAAGATACAAGATATATTTAAGTATCTCAATGTATAATATAAAATAAGTAGCATTACGGAGCGAAAAAAAAACAAAATAACTGCCTAAGTTGAAGCAAGAATTTACGAAATAAAATTTTAAACTTTAATTTAGTTTCTTGGTTAAATTGCCTTTTTTTATGATATACAGTGTAAAAGTGAACAACTAGGAAATGTGTAACAATCGTGAAAACCTAAGAACTCGAAGTGTATAACTAGTTAAACTTGCTTAACTCGCCATTTTTGCTTGGTCGAAGTAAAAATTCGTTTTATAAATGTCAACCTTAGACATTCTAATGGAGACCATGTTATACGGAACCTTCGCCAGTGTTATTAAGAAGTCATATGGTAGAGGAGGTACCTATATTGAGTATTGTATTTCTCTGTATAAAGTATTTTAAGTACGATTAAAATAGTGAGTAATAAACTTGTTTGTGTTATTAGTAATAATTTTTGTGATTGTCCTCATTACGTCGCCGCGCCTCAATCAGAGGCAGAACCGTAATTGCTGCCAAAACCCAAAATATACAGTACATGACCTTTTCTGGAAAAAGCTTAGAATACTAAGGGAAAAAGGTGTAAATTTTCTTTTTTTTAGTTGTTGGTTAGACTAAAATAAGCAAAATATTGTCTCAGTGATACTAGACAGCTGCCCATTGAGCAACTGCTCAAAACATATGCCCAACTCAGACGGCCGAGCTTGTGACAAGCAATACGGTGTTATACATAGATCGTGTTATAGCTTAGGCTAAGTGTAATAGTCACGGATTTATATAATTCATAAACTGGATTGCGCTCTTCGATATACCAATGTTACAAATTTACACCTTATTGGGTTACGTTAAGGTTTATTTTAAGTAAAAGTAAAAAACCGAGACACGTGAGATAGCTCGAAGTAGTGGTCAGTCCTTGTCTAATAAGTTGCCAACGCTAAATAAAATCATCATAGGAGTGTCTAGTCTATTAACTTTTAAATTTTGCCTAAATAAAATTAGCTTAAACGTGCTTTTACTGTAATAATACAAAAAAAAATCAACAATAAAACCTATTAGGAAGTAGCATATCAAATAAGCATACTAATTTGTATTATGAAATAATATTAGTAGTTTTGGTCATCCATAAGCGATCACATCTGTAAAAATTAAAAAGTTACAAACAATATGGCTGGCTGAAACATGAAAGAACACCCTATTAGAAAGAGACGCATTACTACTTTGAAGCCTCTCACTCGGCTCGTTTTATTAACTTAGTGCGCGGTCCAGTTTAATTTTAATATACAAGTCCGTGGTTATACTCCGTCTTTTTTGAAGGAGTAAAATGACATTTGCAGGGTTGCCAGTTTTCGTAACATTTTAAATAGTCGTGTAGTAGGTGTCGATAGTTTTATCGATAGATTGTGAAAGTGTAACCACTTTATTTTCCAAAAATATCTGAACTGTGATTGTTACGACGTTTTAATGATTATTAATTGCGTTGTTGTATCTTTATTCTTATTTTGTCAGTTGGCCTATTAGTATCTTTATAAATAAAATGTGTATGAATAAATTTTTATTCATACACATTTTAATAACGACTAGCGGATTTAATTATTAAATTAAAATGAAAAAAATTAAAATAGGTCCCTTATTTAAATAAATAAATATTAGACAACATCACATACGTTGCTCTGATCCCAAAGTAAGTCTCTAAAGCACTTGTGTTATGGAAATCGGAAACAACGACGGTAGCACAAACACCCAGACCCGAGACAATATAGAAAAGTTAGTTTCTACATTGACCCGGCCGGGGATCGAACCCGAGACCTCGAGAGACGGCGATACCATAAAAACCGGTGAGCAAACCACTCAACCACGGAGGCCGCCAACGTCTGCTATATTTTAACGATACAGTTCGAGTAAGTAGTAATTGTAGTTGGACGAATAATGGGCCGATGATGATTCAAATGAAACAAGTTTGGCTATTTATTTTGTAAGCGTGACCAACATTCAGTCGATAGTCTATGTTATATTTATCGACTGCAATCACTAGCCGATTACAAGCGGGCAATACTTTTGCGCAATGAACTGTCATTTTACTCCGTCTTAAAAAATACAGACAATAGGAGGCTTGCAAGTGTCGAATGGTGAATCGATATCGGTACTAAGAAACGTGAAACAACATCGCTACCATTGGGAAAAAATTCTGAAGTGAAATCTTAGATCTCATTCTGTAAGGCTCAAATCGCACTGGCGCAGAGTCGAAGCGTCGCTACGCGTCATGTTTTTCGCCTATAGCATATTCATCTATATTTTCCCAATACCACTTCCCGGACACTCCATACAACAGTCGAAAGTTATTTACCTACTACTACTACATACAGCAAGGCGCTATCTATATTCAATGTACTCTGTGGCGCTATCTGCACACGCACAAATGTGCACGTGAAGTGGCAGGATTACCCATTACTTTCATACTATTTATTACCATTACGTTACTACTTTTTCTTCTCTGCTATTAAGGCAACATAGCGAATATTCTAACGCGAATGTGTTATCTATAATTCTATGTATTTATGTCGATATAATATTTTATTTTTGATTAATTCACTAACAATATTGACGATTTATTAAACAAATATTAAAAGCACTCAAAATGTTATATTTTGGACAGGTACTTTTAGATAAGGTAAAGAAGGTATTTGACATTGCGTGTCCAAGTTTATCATTACCTAGTTAATAATTAGGTATATTCGCTACGTAATATTTATCGGTAATACAAATTGAAATTTCGCGAACCCTTGTCTACTACTTCACGAAGTTATGGCGTCTTATTACATTGATATAATAAATCCGTATTATATATTACTCTGCACTAAATAAATGAAGAAAACAATAAGTGAATGAGTCTCAGAAATAAGTTTCTTTTCTTACCTACATCGTTTCATCTTTCGGAAAACGAAAGAAACTCCTCTTTTTATCCCGTTTAGATGGACGATAAACAGCCCACATATATAAATACATAGCACAATTCACGACCATTATATATAATAACGTACAATTATGTTATATATTAACGTACAAGTTTCATAATGCATAAATGAAATTATATTCAAATATGAAAGCCGTCTTAGCGCGAAAGCGGTTCGTCGACAGCCTTGTCGTCGTTCAGTCAATGTGACTGTCAATGTGCGGGGCGTGTGTGCGGTATCTAAAGCTAGGGAGGGTCTGAGCGTGTCCGTTCTCGTTATTTTTTTGTTCTCTGCCAATACTAAGGTACACATTTGTGTTATGCAAATATGGAAACGCGCGTCGACGCGTGCGTCGATCCGAGTGCACTAATGCGAGCTAAGTCGCACGTCGCCTGGCGTTGAATTTGAAAAACAGGTCGAGGCGCGACGACGCTTCGAGTCGGCGCCAGTGTGAGTTGAGCCTAACGAAAGTCACGGTAATGATATTGAAAAATTTGTATCCTTGCAAAGAGCAAAACCTAGTAAGGTACAAATTTTTTGAAAATAATTTTTTGACGGAATGCTGCTCCCATAGTAATTAATTACTCGCCAAATTGCAGTGACTACCATTTACAGCAATTTACCAGAGATTTAGAAATCTTAAAACCTAGTAAAGTACGTCTAGTCTGCTTTGTGACCAGTAACGAATCTAGTAAGTCACTTGGACCAATTCAAAACAGCAAGAATTTTTAAACTTGTATTTGTCTAATTGAGTAACGTGTATATTAGGTATTATGGTAATGTCGGTACAGTATGTATGTGAATTTTCGTGCGAATTCCGACTAGTATGTGCATTTTCATAAACTCATCATGAAAATTCATATATATATATATATATATATATATTATATATATAGTCGGAATTTTGATTCGGACCCCTCGATAAGGGTAGCGGGAGTATATTTGGCTACATAAATGAATTTAAGGACTTTAAAATATTCCTTAAATATTCATTATTCAGCAATATTTATAAGAGGTTCGTATACAATAAGGTTATAAAAAGACATTCATGTGGCTGTATTCAGAGGTATTGAATACCTATTTTTTTACTTTTTTATTCTTTTTTTTTTGTTATTTAATAATAATGTTTTTATTATTAGAGACAAATATTACATTAAAATTTTCTTACCGCACAAAGAGAATATCTTTAAAATTACCCTTAAAGCTAAAAACTAAGCACTAAAATAATTAAGATGTTTATTTTCTAATTTACCAGATTAATGATTACTAGATCTTGGTATGTGGTATACGTATAGTTTCTTATTTTTGCCACATAAATATCTTCTTCAACTTCTTATAAAATAGCCATTGCAATAAGCGTTTTGCGTTGTATGCCCATCTCGCAATACACTTCTCACTAATGTACTGCACATGACTGTAGTGCGGACGTTTTTTACTGAGCTGATAGACTAAGTAGGAAAGTAGTTTTAGTTACTAAATTATTCGCTGCTCCACAAAATTACTAAGATTGTCCGATTTAGAATACAAAGCTAGTCTTGACGCGTTGTTCGAGAGCACAGTGTACGAATATCTGTGCATCTTTTCTTCCATAAAATCTCGATTAACAGTGTGACCACAGCGGCAATGGCACCGTAGGCGAAAACAAGCAACGCTGGATAACAATCTACCATGCTTACTGACACGAAATTACTCTCTCTTCCTGAACATTTGGGTCGCTTTTCGTAAAAAATCTCGTTTTCTCTCTTCTGGAGACCGTGTTCTTGTATGCGTTTTAGACTGTAATGGAAAAAAAGAATGAAGGTATGTTATACAGGGTATAACAAAAAAATTAAAACGGTTTTCAATTATTACATCAATCCATTATTAACTATATGTATAACATAATAACTGCCTCGGTGACCGAACGGTTACCATACTGGACTTCCACGCAAGAGGTCCCGGGTTCAATTCACGTGTCGCGAGAAATATACGTATGGCCTACATTTATTTCTCTCGTGAATTTGGGTTTAATTTGAGGTTGTCTATGTGTGTCCATTCATGGCACCGCCATACAGGGTTTCCCTAGAGCGGGACTATGAGTGTGTGCGCGTTATTATTTATTATTATTAACTCTAATTCGAATCACAACGGCAGTATTTAATGATGTAATTGTTTGACATGTACAAAAGAAAATCTTGTTGGGAGTTTTGTATTATGAGGTTTCCGGCGTAGCATAGATCCCTTTCGCTTGACAAGAGCTATGACATGTCCGCAAAGGACTTAGTGTGAATTCTGGTTCTTAAATAAATATTGTATTCTACCCATACATAAGGCTGATTTCAGAGTAGTGCGGATTGATCTGCGGATCGTCTGTACGCGCGGAGCACCGGAGCGGAGTAACTTGTGTGGCGTTAGAACATCGTTTTACATGGTTCAACACGCTCCGCGTGAAATCCGCTCAAGCCACCCGCATTCGTTGTAGGCTACCGTTTTCCGTAAATATTCGCACTAAATTACATATTCGATTCAGAGCACTGCGGATTCACAGTCCTTGCGGACCGGATGCACAGCTGTGAAACCAGCTTAAGTGTCTGATTCTAAGGGTCGCATTCTAGAACTCTACTCAATGTTCAAGTCAGGACTTGAGTATGATTCAATGCATTAGAAATCATACTCAAATCCTTGCCATCAGGATCGTACTTCCAGTGCTTGAAATCATACTCAAGTCTGCTCAAATCCTAACTTGAGCATTGAGTAGAGTTCTGGAATACGACCCTTAGAGATATACGACAAAAAAAGAAGAACCATAGATATTGCAATTTGATATACCCTATTTTAAACATCTCCTTGTAAGGTGTATGCTTCCTAACGGCCAAAAATGGATCAATGACTTGCAGATATTGTATTTCCTTCAACCCACATTTCTCACCTTCGTGGAAGTATTTACCAACGAATTTGTAGCCAACGCCGATTTCCATGTGGAAGGCGAATAGACCCTGCAACATTTCAGGTATAACTATATAGTAAGAAAGTAAAAAGTGCGTGATATGCATTACCCTCTACTTACTTATAATTTAGCATTGCAAATTTTATAACGTTACTAAAAGTCACAAGGAGAAGTAATAGTTTTCTGTACAAATCGCTGCGTTTGTACAATAACGTATAAAAAAAATTTGAGTAAGAAAACGGGTTGCACGATAACGGTCACTTGCTTTGTTCGTCGCTGTATGTTTAGTTCAAAATCGTAGTATTCTGCAATACTGCGTTACTCTATATACTATATTGTTAGGAACGTCTCTGCCCAGAGCTGCAAACCGACTGTCATAGCTGCCAATTGTCAGAATTTCGTTGTGGCACTTTCTTACTTGCATTATGGTGATTTTCTCTCTTCACCGAATGACTTGCAAAAATAATTGACAAAATAGTACCTTAGTAGTACAAACTGTTGTTTACCTGTCTCATTTTTTTAACACCTTCCTCCATTGTCATGAATCTAGGTACAGTGCCCGGAGGTGCTACTTTTTGCAGATAAATAGCTTTCCTTATAGGTTCTGTGGCGTGCTGAAATTTACGTAGGCAAAATTATATTCCTTCAAAGTTTTTGCTTTGAGCTAATTTAAGAATAATTCGCCTCAATGACGTGCTGTGAAACTTGTGTCGATTGATACAGATAAGTATACTTTCTAATTGACCACTTGACCACGAGCTCATCTGATATTGTTAGATTACAGCGTAGCAGATGCTTGTCGAAATGGTACATCTTCATTTGAAAAGACTCACGTCCTACAAGCATGCTAGCTTTTAGTAGCAGTAGAGCTCCTTGTGAAAGAGTTCATCCACCTCTTACTGTGCCTGCCGCTTTACCTATTTCTGCCGCATTTAGTAATGTGAGCATTACTGCGTTGCGTTTCCTTTACGGAGGGTAAAGGCGATGGTGAAACTACAGGCACGATGGGTCTTTTGAACTTATGTCTCCGGGTGTCGGGCGTGGTGGCAGTGCTCCTTAGAACGTTGTGATTTAAAGCTCTGAGTGGCCTGCAACTGTTAGGGACAAGCGTGTCGCTTACCGCCAGTCACATGACTTGTTTGTCGCGTCAATTACTGTTATAAAAAATCTTTTTGTAATTAATAAATAAGTGCGCATTTTACCTGCCTCACTTGATGGAAAGCGACGATGCGACGACCAACTCAAATTGCTTATATAAACGTTCCTCCTTCGACAGTCCTTCAACGAGCTATCTTGGGAGTAATAATCAAGTGGGGAGAACGTACGACTCAGATCTAGGAGTTGTGTGGTTTGATTCCCATTTGAAGGTCTGCACCGAATAATGTGCAATTTTGTTTTTTATCGTTTATAGCGAGTGGCGGTAAAGAAAACATTGTGATGAAACCTGTACGTCTAAGAGGGTTTACAATTCTTCGAAGACGCCAAGTTACCAAGGATCTGCAGTGCGATCGTCTAATAGTATAACTACTTACATGCAGCCATAATCGCTGGCAATAAATAAAGCTTAGTTAAACGATAATAAAATACAGGGTTGTTTGTAAAATACAACTATATTGCTAACATCATAAACCTTTTGTCCGATGACTTTTAATAATTCATCAGATTCTACTTTCCTTACAAAAATAAAAATATTTAAATAGCTCTTATGCGGTGATAAACTCTTTGCGGTTTTTTTTCTTTCATCGGACTGTACTTGCCCGCTTGAACTTACTACCAAACACAGGTCTAAAAAGTGGCAGATAGTAGGAGCACAATAAAAACATAAAAGATTATTTTTGGTTTTCACGGACCAAAGGTAAATTTATTATGTTCATTTTATAATCATGAAACAAGACTTGTTATTTACAATAGTAGCAATATAGTCCTGTGAAATTGTCAGTATTTTACAAATTACCCTGTATAAGTTACACTTTTACCGAGAAATAATATCTATTGAACACATTATCGTGTACGCCAAACTTGATTCGTGAATTCAAAAGGTCTTCCAAATTCCGTATTTTACTTGAACTGGATTGCAACAGAGCCACAATGTTCGCTGAGTACGAGGTGTATAGAAACATGAGTGCCAGGAATAAGATTAACATCATCACGCGACCCAGTGAACCTGACAATAGAATATGAGTATAATTAAAACAATAACAATTACATACTTAGACAATGACAGGTACAAATAAACTGCTAAAGTTGGTATAATGTACTGGTGATATCTACAGCGAACTTGCTAGGATTCTTCACAGAGGCGCTGCAACTGCGCTTCTAAATATTGTATGAAAATTAATATTGGCGCGGCTGCAACGCTACACTGCAGCGCTAACATAAGCGTCAAATATGAAGGCGCCTTTACGGAGATCGAGATGTAAATTCGTTGGAGAAAGTAAAAAATTTGGAATTCATTCCAATTGTAAAATTCATATTTTAGTTGACCACTTTGTTGTTGTCAGTTGGATTTTTGTACTTAAAAATGTTCCAGTTAAATTTATATTGAATTGATATTAATTATTTTTTTGTGAAATTACTCCACTAGTTTGTTATAATTAGTATATAATAATACGAAGATCGAACACTTAAAAAAAATCCTTCGGATTCGAACCGACGCATCTTCTAGCAAAGAGCCACGGAACGAACCAAGGGACCTTACGAATTTTTCTATGTGCTTGTTTGTCGAATCTTTGTGTTTGGTTTTCAATGACTTTTTAGCCGTAGCGCCATCTATGAGAAGTCTATGAAAGTATTTCGTGTTCGTTGTTCCAGTTTTTAATTAAATAATGATACCTTTTAGTTCTACAGGGCTGCCTTGTTGACAAATGGCTCCGATTAATAAGATGCCTACATCTTGCAAGTTTCCTCTTAGTACATCAGCATCTTTCATTTTCTGTAAAGTCTTAACTCAAATTAGAGTTGGAAAATGTGTTTATTTTTATTTCATTTCATTAAAAGAAGCTGGTTTATGAAGAATAATTAGAACAAATAAGACCAGCCTCAATTTCTGAGTGTGTAATGTACTCAGTACATATATTTGGAAATTATGGATGCATTGGAGTCTGTATAAAGTAGGGTTTGATATTATTAACATATTTAGTTTCTTTAATAATTATCATGAAAATTATCTGATGATTTTCAAATTATTACCTGACAACTATCCATTAAATATCCATGCTGATTTATAATTTTGTTTTTTTTTAAATTTTTGACTAAAAGCGCGAAAACTAAATAAACACGAGAACAAATGTTTGGCAAAACAATTTGGTTTGTGACGTTTATCAAGACTGACATTTGACACGTTTGAATACGTGTCGGAGCCAAACACAGGATATGGCATTACGAGTGGTAGTACTTTGTTGACCTAATTAATTTTATGAATATCAAGATAATTATCAAGAATATACTTATCAAGATAAATCGTGATAATTATTATGATATTATTAAGATAATTATCATAATAATTATCAATGATGATTATCACTTCGAACCCTGGCATAAAGTACTGAGCACCATATAACTATATTATTATTTCCAACCCTCTCGCTAATGTTATAACTAAAAAAATAGTATTACGTAGGTAAGGTGCAAACCTTGCGGTTATTTTGTTTAATCCTCTTCCATTCCCACTTTGCCATAGCAAACAATGCGAAGAATAATAACAACTGTAGAGCGATAGAACTATACCACACTGAAGGCTTAAATGACAGTAAGAACAAGTTGTTCTCATAAGAGAGTTTCGGTTGTTGGAATACAAATTTGGATCGGCTAGGAGTTGGCATTGCTATGTATTCTACCACTGATACACGTTCTGTGGTAAAGAACATTGGCGATCCTGGAAGTTTATAGGTTCATTAATACAGACAGAAATACCATAATAACGCAATACAAAAAATTGTACCATGGCACAGGTAGTAGAGTAACCTCATAAAAACGTAGCAGCGCAACTCGTGCATGTGAACATTCGTGTAATCTCGCGGTGTACTCGTATTAGCGACTTGTAGGTTTTTGTCTTACTATGATAGTGTACTTCACGTCGGAAAAAAATAGATCAGGTGTTACTTTGCGGAAGTCAATGATAATAAAAGCAGAAGTAAAACTAATTTGCTACTCCGCGAACCCAGTGACGGTTAGACGTGCGAAATAGCTGCACTTGTGTCGAATATTGGTGGTATTTGTGATAGTAGTTGCGATTGTGTTATTTATTTTATGCCGAAAGAGAGTGGGAAAATTATCAGCATGAAAAGAAATTTGACACAAGCGCAGCTATTTTGTTCGATTTAATCTCTTCACTAGGTTTGCGGAGTAGCAAATTAATTTACTTCTACTTTTGAAAAAAAAAAATACATTGCTAAAAATAAATCCACAGATACTTTACATCTTATACAGGTTCTTACAAACGACATAAGTAAAAAGAGAAATAATAAAATTAAAAAAAATTGTTATCGTGTAATGTATTGTGTATACGTATACGACAAGTCATAAAGTTATGTAAGTATGTGGTACCAACATGTGAAGCAATGCAAAAAGTTGCTATTATGTAGATTTAGTGAGCGCATTTTACGGCAGAAGCTATTGGTCGCACACCTATTGTTGCAACGTCACGTGCGATACTTTTACCACGCTGTATCCGCTTCATCTCACTTTATAAGGCTTTCTTACCTCCGATCTCAACATCTTCCCTAACTAAATGTCCAGTGAGTCCGTTCCAAGTGCCATTCAAGTTATAGCCCCAAGTGTCAGCAAATACGTATTTGCTGCTTGCGTTAAGGAAGTTGAACAAATGATTTGTTGTTAGGAAGTTTGCTTTCGTTATCGTGTCTATGTGGTCGTCTCTGCATATCGGCAAAGAAGGATAAAAAGTATGATCAATGTAACCAGTGGCGGCTCGTCCTAAGGAGCGCTGGTGCAGTGAACTCCCACTCCTATTCAACCCACCAAAATAAAATTATTAATCGAGCTTTCATATTAGACTAGTAGCCGCACTATTTTTTTTATTAATGAACGATAAAATACAATTAGATTTTTATCTTTCTCTGTAATATCGTAGTATAGCACTACTAACCCTTGAGTGGAGCGCTCCGCGATACGCTCCTATGAACCAAAGTTGTTTACAAAGTTAAGTACTGAATTCAATGAGTGCGAAAGAGACATTTCTTTACGGCACGACACGTGAAACAAAAGATTAGTGTGACAAATGTATGAGAAAATTAGCAAGATTTGAGCGGCGCTCCGCGTAACGTTGCCGTTCTGTACATGCCAGATGCGACGACTAGGCGATTCTGCACTCCGCCTCCGCGTTGCCAGTTGTATTTGTTGTTCAGTCAAATAAACAAACCGTCATTTCTTCGCGCGCATTTTGTGTTGTAAAAAATAATATTATTCAATTAAGTTAAGAAGCTTAGTGTTGTTTTGTGGCATTGTTTAAAATGGAGCAATACAGTGCGAGTTTCATTAAAAATTGTGAAAAGACGTTAGAGGTACGACTTGAACTAAAATCAAAGGGACCACCTCGCCCTGAAATTGCATTATCACAACAATGTAGCACAAAAACTAAAAAATACACTCGCGTCTTTAAAACTGAGCAATATACAAAAACACCGTGGTTGTGTGGGTGTGCAGAAACTAATAAATTGTTTTGTTTTCCGTGTCTTGTGTTTGGAGGCGGCGGCGGTGAATCTGCATGGACAGACACAGGTATTGACGATTTAGCGCATCTTTCTATAAAAGTGAAAAAACATTCACAATCTCGTCCTCATATGTTAAATGAAGTGCAGTTGGCATCGATAGGACGTCTGGATATTCGCAAGGCGCTCGATTCAGCTTACAGAAAATCTATTAGAGAATTCAATGAACGTGTTGATCAAAATCGTTATATTTTGAGACGTTTAATAGATTGTGTAGTATTTTGTGGAGCATTTCAAGTTGCTTTAAGGGGGCATGACGAATCCACAGAATCCCTGAATCCTGGAATATATAGAGGGTTGATTGATTTCGTTTCCGAGATCGACTTAGCCATGAAGCAGCATTTAACCGGCAGCTCGGTTTTTAAGGGCACGTCTAAATCTATTCAGAATGATATTTTAGATGCTATTTATGAAGTTTGCAAGAATGAAATAGAGATTCAGATAAAAAAATCTGAGTTTATAGCAATTCAAGCAGATGAATCAACTGATTGTTCTACGATTCAACAACTAGTATTTATTATAAGATATATACATGATGGCAAAGTTTATGAGAGGTTTTTAAAATTTTTGCAACCTAAAGGTTTTACAGCAGAAGTAATTGCGGCTGAAATCTTAAAAGAATTGCATTCTATGCAGATTGATAAAAAAAAGTTGATTGGACAAAGTTACGATGGAGCTGCGGTCATGAGTGGAAGTACAAATGGTGTTCAAAAGATTATACGAAATACCTACCCGTATGCTTTTTATGTCCACTGCTACGCTCATCAATTGAACTTGATATTGGAAAGGTGCGCGTCAATTAATCATACTGTACGCAGCTTCTTTTCCAATCTACATGCATTTCCGACTTTTTTTACGCGGTCTTCGAAACGATCAGATTTTTTAAAAGAAATCGTCCACCGAAGAATTCCTGCCGCTCCACAAACAAGATGGAATTACAATACCCGCACAGTGCAAGTTATACACGATAATTTAGAGCCCCTGAAAGAGTGTATGCAAGCTATAATGGTCGATACTAGTAGTGATCACAATACTTTTAATCAAGCTCAGATGCTCCTCTCATATTTGAACAATGACGATTTCGGATATTGGCTGAACATTTTCGCGACACTAGTGCCGCACTGTGAAATTTTATTCAAATGTTTGCAGTCGCGGTCCATTGATTCGATTAAAATTATGAGTGAAATTAATAAGTTTGAGAACGTCATAAATGATTTGCGGAATGCTAACGCACCACCTTCGCCAAAGAAAAAACGTCGACCTGGTAACGTGAAGCATTCAGTCATGAGAAAGGAAGTATGTGACGTCGTAAGAATGCAGATCAAAGACAGATTTGCATATACAGACCATTTATTGGCTTCGAAATTATTTAATACAGACAAGTTCGCGGACTATCACGCGAACTTTCCAGAAAATGATTTCAATAAAGTCGTCAAAACTTATGATTTTATCGAGAAAACTAGATTAAAAAATGAGTTATTAGTAATTTACAGCAGAGAAGATTTTCACAATGCCGATGGTGCCATTTCAATCCTTCAACATTTTATAGAATTTAAATTAGACACAGTATTTTGTGAAAGTATTAAATTACTAAAAGTTGTTTGTACAATCCCTATGACCTCGGTGGAAAGTGAGCGCTGTTTTTCCACTTTGAACAAAATTAAGACATTTACACGAAATACCATGTCACAAGATCGCCTTAACGCTCTGTGTATGATAAGTATCGAAAGACGCCTCATCAACACCATATCAGACTTTCACAAAAAAGTAATCGATGTTTTCTCACACCAAAAAGGCAGGCTTCATGTACAAATAAAGGTACGTAATTTTTTTTAGTTTGAATATGTATAGGTAAGTGAACTCCCACTGAAATCTTGCACGAGCCGCCTCTGAATGTAACTATAGCAAAATAGGCTTTTGAAATGATTACGTCGTTGTACAGGGACCAGAGTATACTCAGAAAAAGGATTGTTGGATAAACAATTTAATCCCATAGAGGTATTAAGTGTCAATAACAAAGTTTTTATTGTCAAGTCTACGTTTGGCATTTCAATAACCTTTACGTAATGATAGGTGCATAGGTTCCATTTTAGTCAAAGCGATACAAAACCACACCATTGCCTGGTCTCAAACTAAGGAATTCTATGTATGAGCATCAGAGCAACGGAGTTTCCTCTGGGGATATCCAGACCAGAACCAATTCTAAAAAGTTCATTTCCGAAATTAGTCCTACCGGGAATCGAACGCGGGACCTCCGCATCCAGTGCGCACAATGCAAACCGTTAGGTCACCGCGGTCGTCAATTATTAAGCAATTCTCTAGGAAGCCGTTCCCACAAGGACTTGACTCTTAGTAAAGCTATATCACAACATTCGAAAGAAAAAATATTAACACCGCGATTCAGTAATTGCAAAAAGTGGGTCAATATCATATAGTATTTATACGGTGTGCATACTTGGTTGGTATGATTTATATTTCTATTGCTGGAAGAACGAATACATTAAACAATTTTTTTTCTGAGTGCAAGGGCATCCTCAAATTAGACGCTTATAGAAGCACTAATTTTCATACAATTTTTAGGAACGCAGTTGCAATGCCACTGGCGTGACATGCGCGCGCCACTTTTGCAGTCACAATTAGTAAACTAAAAATTACTAAAGCGCTACAAACGCGTGGCTGCCGCGGTACAATCGCGCCACTGCTGCGCTTCTACAAGCGTCTAATTTGAAAACGCCCTTAGATGAAAGACTGCCCGGTAGCTTCTTTACCATTAATATTCTCTGTTTAGGCTGTTTTTCGTTAGTCTGCTGGTCAGGTTCTTCCCATAAATTGGCCTGAGTGAACCTATTAAGTAAATATCTTTATTATAGAATTGGTGTTATTAAAAATTTTATTGCAATAACAAGCTACATTTTACAAAAGTATTTGGTAGTTTGAAGTTTAAGTTGCTCTACATTGCGTTGAACATAAGCATTGCAGGTTTGACTATAAACTACTTTCATTATTTTATTTTTAAATTACAAATTACTCACTACTTTTCCTAAATTTAATATGGTTTTCAAGAAATTAGGTATACTTACCTACTTTGCCCATCACTGGTTGGTACACTAAGGGTCATATTCCAGAACTCCACTCAATGCTCAAGTCAGGATTTGAGCAGACTTGAGTATGATTTCAAGCACTGGAAATACGACCCTAATGGGGAGGAATTGAGTATGATTTCTAGTGCTTTGAATCATACTCAAGTCCTGATTTGAGCATTGAGTAGAGTTTTAGAATGCGACCCTTAACCGCTAGTCTACCGTGTCATACCAAAACACCGTAATATATAAAAAAAAAACATTTTAGAAAAAGCTGCGTAAAGGATTCTTCAGGTTTTTGTAATTTTTTAGGTTCATAACATAAATACATTTAACTTACGTTGTACATTAGATATTGCCGAAATATATCTAGTCATTATAATTTTACTTTGGAAAGTAAGCTGTTTCTTAACAGCTTCCCTTCATAACAGCTAAATGATTCTTGGTATTACAAAACATTGTATTGAACCTTGCAGTGTTTGGGTTTGATACGATAGTAGTGGTTATATGAATTTTGTACTTAGACTTTGAATGAAACTTACATTCTATCCGTTAAATGGTTGATACTATTGTTGTCGGTCAACACGTAGCAGATGGAGATCTCATATCTGTCCAGATTGAATCTCCTCACAGCAGTCGTGTCCAGGACGTCATCAGGCTTCTTGAACTTTTCTTTTGTATCCCACGTACCGTAGAACTCCGTTCGCCAAGGCGTTGTTGCGCCAACTTTGTATACTGAAGATTTACTCACATTTAGCAAATCATTGTCTATCTTACCAGTGCCGTGCGTGTTGGCAATTATTGGTATTTATGTTTAACCCCTGGCGAAAAACGAAGGCTGTTGTAAGACGCCGTTGTCTGTCTATGGCAGGGGTTCCGAAACTTATTTTGTCTACTGCCCACTTTGAGAATAAATTATTTTTTAGCATCCCCATTTTTTCACCTACTTAAAAATCACTATAACTTCAAATTAAATTAATTATTGTGAGCTATAGAAAATTGGACATGTTCATCTTAACATGTTATCAGTTATACATTGAGCTATTATTTAAATAATTGGAAGTTGAACTAATAGGGTGAATTTCGTCTAATAAGTTCACCTTTTTGAAAAGATGTACCTAGTTGAACTTATTGGAATATTTGTGTCCGATTAGTTTAACTGATTGAACTTAACTTAATCAATACTGTTTATCGGATCTAACTCGCATGTATTTGTTCTACCATGGGACCTATAAAGGGACCAAAACGTTGGTTTGTTTGAAAAACCAAATATATACGCGATATAGATCGGAAAAATTGTTTCATTTTATTTTATTCTATCAGTAACAATTGCGAAAACCTAAGAAAAGATCTCGATTCGATAATTTAGTACTTATTGTTTGGAATATCTTATAATACTTTTATACAGATTTGCTATTTTTTTCTGTCAGGTACTTTTAATTTTAAAATAAATTTCTTTTTTCTTTTCCTGATGAAACCTGCATAATGGCCAAGCGCAACGTAATCTTTTGAAGACGTATGAATCTCTTCTATGTTGGGCCAGCGTAATTGAACTATGGCCTAAACCCTTCCCTAAAAGGAGTCCAGTGAAGTCCCGCCTTATACTCGGACGTCATATCGAGTGGTGATATTTGATATATATATATATATTTGATATTGATGACTTACTTATGTTTTATTTACTCATGTACGTCGTGATTAGTAATACGCGAATAAGTCGACGTGAGATAAATAGTACACGGTCATGATCACCTCAAGCTTGACATGAAATTTAACTTCTATTTAATTTCAATTCAAAGCTGTTTGCGATAAGGACGGTCCAAAGTGTCTAGCTTGGCGTGCTGTATCTCTTAAATTCACTTATCATTTCCATATATAACAAATTTTCAAAAGGGTTCTGTTTCTGGTTTGACAGTATTCGTTTCTGTTTAATGCAGCAGCAAAATCTTGCAAATCTACACATTTCTAGTTTCTTTGTCTCAATTTTGGTTGAAATTTACTATTTTACATTCAATGTTTCCTTTTTGTCTTTAAGGCTGATTTTACAGCTGTGCGTACGGTCCGTCCGGACTGTCCGCCTGCGGGTCATCCGCATTTCTAGAATTCGCAGTGCTCTGAATCGAGTATTTAATTTAGTGCGGATATTCACGGAAGACAGTCGCCTACAATGAACGCACGGGTGGCTTGTGCGGAGTTCACGCGGAGTAAACCGCGTTACTGTAAAACGATGTTCTAACGCCACATGTGTTACTCCGCTCCGATGATGCTCCGCGCGGATGGTTCGCAGATAAATCCGCACTGCTCTGAATCCAGCTTAAATAAAGAGAAACCCGAAAAAAAAGAAAATTGTACATTTTCCGTATGGTACGTAAATGTAACTATTTGTTGTCTTGACCACAAACGTTGTTAAAGTATTTGCAGAAATATGTTTTTATGCTAGAACTAAATAGAAATTGATATTGCAACAAAAAGAAAGAAATCTCGTGAAAACAAAAATCGTGTTACATGTTGATTATATGCAAATGAAATGTATATCGACCCACAATCAAATACTTACTGAAATGAAAATCATATGAAGTGTCGGAAATTCTTCGGGCAATCATAACCTCGCTATCTGGTAGGACATTTATGTCTATGATGGATTCCGGCACTATACTCCCTCCGTCGGAATAATCAATTAGAATCCAACGGAACGGTGATCGAAAATGGTTTTCTTCTTTGCTCTGTTTTCAAAATATAACGTGAATCTTATATGTCATACTTTTGGTATAATAAAGCCGTATGTGATAAAAATAGTCATAAAAATAATACGAAGTATATAACAATGATAATAACGCACACACTCGTAGCCCCGCACTAGGGATACTCTGTATCGCGGGTGCCATGGACACTCACATAGAAAACCACAAGTTACACTCAAACTAACGAGAGAAATAAATGTAGGCCATACAAATATTACTCCCGGCCCGGGAATCGAACCCGGGACCTCTGCGTGGCAGTCCAGTATGATAACCGTTCGGCCAGAGAGGCAGTTTATAACAATATTTATTTTATTGAATATCGTGTTTTTTTGTTACCGTGACATTCATATTTTTTGTAAAAAGACTCCTGTAGTTTTGGTATTAAAATTATATAGACAAAGTTTATTCCCGTTTCCAAATGTTAGTACAATGCACCGCGAAAGTTTAAAAGTATATATACAAAGATCGAAGAAATAAAAAGAAAACTTCCTTTAATAGATAACAGAATTAGAAACGTTAGTTTTTAATTCCATTTTATCTTCAAAACGTGAGGATTACCGGTCTGTTTAATTATTCGTAAATTGGGAAATGTTTTTGGTGGGAGGTAAGTAATATAGTTATAGGGCGTATAAGATCATTGCTTATAGATGTCAGAATCTCATAGCACTAAATGAAGGAAATCTATTTTCAGATGAAAATAGATTGATTTTTCTTACCAATGTTAATTTGCACACATGTCAATTCAAATTGGCGTAGACCTTTTTATTTATAAAGAAAAATTCACCAAGACTTGGCTGTACGGTTTAAACTTTTACGTTTCCAAAAAGCAATCAATTTTAGAATTGTGTGAAATAGCTGCCTGCAGAACAATTTTCACCGGAATGATAAATAAGAAAATAATAATATGTAAGTATTTTTTGGGATTTTATGATGTCTATATCCGCAAAATAAAAATTCACATTTAAACTTTATGAATTATTCAAATTTTACCTTCTGCAAATAACTTCTAATACTTGAGCAGTTAAGGTCTACCACGAAAATTGTGTGCTGATCCTGAGCATGACTTTGTGGTATTATTTCGGGCTTCAGAAACTGCACTGTACTGATTTGAGTCAAATTAGCTGCCGTTAATACTGCATGAAGTTGCACTTGTTCATCTACAATAGAAAGTTTAGGGTGATTATGGTAAAAATGATTTAATAAATCCATTAACTCTAAAGAATGAATACTAGAACAAGAAAATTGTCTATACGAATGGTGCACTCGTGTAAAAAACATTAAATTCTATTTTCTGTGTGTTTGAAATGCTTATCTGTGGAAAAAAAATTGTCTTCCTGTCGTAACTCGCCGAGACAAATCTTTCAGAGCAACATGTAAAAGATTTAAACACAATTTACGAAATATTTTCTGTTATGGAATCGATGGCATACACTAGGTACTATTGTAGTCCACAACTCAGCCATGTCTACCGCGTGTAAATCCTTAAGCGAGCAGTTGTTAGAGCACGCATGGCACAATGCGAGGTGGGCCATCGTTTGAATCGCACCGCACAAACTATCCAAGGGTCTTTCCGTCCGTCATCCATCCGAAACAATTAGAACGTTTGCGCACTACGTCGGATTCGTATCAGGGGGTCTACTCTCGATCTCCGTCCGACATCCGTCCGAAACAATTACTGTCAAATAAGTAATATTCGACAAAATTAAAAGACAAGTATCCAGTATGAAGCTTCATTCGCATCACGCGTCTTTTCATTTGGTCAAGTACTGGTTATTTGGCAGTAATTGTTTCGGACGGATGTCGGACGGAGATCGAGAGTAGACCCCCAGTTCCGAATCCGTGAAGTGACGGTTCGAAATGTCGCAGGGATCATTTTATCTCTAGGTGTACAAGCGAGATTCGGACTTAGCGCACAAGCGACATCCGAAGTGGGTCCGAGTTTTCTAGATTTGTATAGTTTCGGATTCGGAACGAATACAAATCGGCTGCAATGCGCAAACGCGCTTACTGTCAAATAAGTAATATTCGACGAAATCAAGACATGTCAAGTACGAAATTTCATTCGCGTCATGCGTCAAAAAAAAATTAGTAATTGTTTCGGACGGATATCGGACAGAGGACGGGAGTAGACCGCCAGGTTAGAACCATCCGAAAATCCCCACCAAACAAATTGTTCTTACTCCAACCAACCTGGGTCTATTTAAAGACTTTCTGATTGGCCATGGCAATTATTATATATACATAAGTACGAAATAATTGAAAACTCACAATTTGTCCAGCAAAGCGTGGCCACAATGGCGGCTGGCCTCCGCTCCGCCTGCACTACATCACTGATCATCGCCGCTTCCGACTTTACTTCCGCCCATATTGAAGAACACCTCAAGAGTATTATTAGAATTTTTAGGATCATCCTTGGCCACTGGCTTAACTTCAACTAAATTTTTTTCCAAGTCAATTTTCAGGTTCACGTATTGCGCCGTTTCGCGGTAAATACTAACCAATATACACAATACTTGTCTGAAACAATTCTTGTGAATAGAAGCAAAGAAATATCAAAATATCATTCCATAGCGCATGTAACACACTTTCCAACAATTGTTAATATAAGTAGTCAGAAAATTCCTGTCATTCGTTTTACTCAAAATATACACCATTTTTTATTTAGCGAAATAAAAAAAATACGAATATAAAATAGTAATCTTAATTTCTTTATAGAAAAGAATTAGACATTAATGTAAGTAGTAACTATATTAACGAATTTTAACATCGACTTAGTAGAGCCTTTCGTGGCCTTACAGCTTAACCTATGGCCGTAGTCAACCTTTGTAAAAAAATCGGAATTAATTTTTTTTTACATTTAGAACAACGCAAACTAATTAAAAAAATTACAGTGACTAATATTTTATTTTCAAATTAGACGTAATAAAAAAAAAGAAAATTAACCGGCCAGTCTTTTTACTAGTCTATATTATATTAAAAAGAAGTATTGTAAGTCGCAAAAAGTGAAATGTTTTTCACCAACTAACCTGTAAACGTTCGTCGTGAGTACTAGGACTACATTTATAATTTCAACTTTTACCACCCTTCAGGGCGATAGACATAATGTAAGATGTTATAGAAAATTATGCACCAACTTTGTCATTGCCTTCTGGACTACAACAAGAGTTTGATTCAAAAATAGTTGCCAGTATCGTTTATAAAGCCAGTTTCAAGAAATAACGAATGAAAGATTTTGCAAAGTGACGATAATATAAAATGTATCATACTGGTATAGAATGAAAGTGCAGTATCGTGATAAAACAGAAATTATTTTCTGAGTAATAATGCAGGAAATAACCGAAGTAATGCTGAAAAACGTTGTAATAAGTTTGCTTAAGAAAATGCTGATCTGGTCAACATGTCTGATAGTGATTTTAGCATGGATTATTCAGTGCCTATTTCGTGCATATACCGCAGTCTATTTTCTTTCAAGGTTATAATACGAATATACTCGTATAGTAGGCTGCAAAAGTGCATAACGCTAAGAACCACGACGTCTCTGGCGATTTCCAACATTAACAAATGATCCCTTATTTCGGCAATATGGCTCTACGAATAGAATTTAAATAACAAACGTTTTGTACTTAAATATGGGCGCAAAAATCCCATATATCTAACAAGTGTGTCATCTAAAGTTTGTATATTTACTTACGATAATCGGTAAGTAGTTTTCCGTTACAACAACGACGATAACTGAACAACAATACAAATAAAGATTTTATGCACGATATAATTATGAAATCAGGCAGCAACGATATCTGGGTAATTTTCAGATTATTTTTCTTTACCTAATTTCGGTGACAATTTTCATTATTTAATTTTTTTTATTATATTAAGTGACGAGACGAATAAGTCGTACGCCTGGCGGAAAGCAACACACCGTAACAGTTACACTGCCATTCAGAGCTTTAAATCAGAAAGACCTGAGGATCAATGCCACTATGCCCGTCACCCTGAGACATAAGTAGACAAGTCTTATGTGCCTGTAGTTTCACCAGCACCCTTACCCTTCAAAACCGGAACACAGTAATGGTGACATTACTGCTTGGAGGCAGAAATATTTCATTATTTTAGAATATTAGCATAAAGTATTATTTAATATTTAAGTGTAGTATCCTGAAATATTATTAACAGTTCACGATAATGTACTAGAATGCTTAAATAATAAAAATTGCCACCGAAATTAGGTAGAGAAAACTAACCATTCATCTATGAGACTTTGTCAGGCAGTTCGTTGACTTGTCCAAAAAAGCTATTACTTACACTTCTTTTGGGCACAAGGTAGAGGGAACAGTTTGTATTTAACATTACAGTACCTATTACTTTAGCCTACTTACAGTGCTGGATGAAGTATCGTGGTTGCCGCATTTCAAATTTGTGGTACTTCTTTCCTGTATCTACCTCACATTGCAGGCTTTGTTTTACCTCTTAGGTTTTTCTAAGAGGTAAGACAAAGCCTGCCGTCATAAGCGGAAAATGCAGCGAGTCGCGACAACATTGCCTACGAACCGAAAGGTGACGTATGTTTACACCGGCCTTAAAAAGAAAATGAAATTCTTGTGCTTTCTGGGCCATTTAACTTACAAGAAAAAATCTGCTGTCGAAATAACATTAGAGTAAGTAGTAAACTTGTTTGTCAACATTTAATGATAATCTCAGTACAGAGTACTAAAAAAACCGACCTCAAAAGTACGTGGAAGCACATATAATAACCAAGTTTTATTGAAATCGGTTACCGGAAAGTGCGCAAACCTGGATTCATCCCCTAGTTCGCCACTTTACGGGACATGACGCAGAACATAATAAAAATCGGTTCTCACTACTCAAAGTATATTGAGACAAAAAACGCCTTGAATTAGAGAATAGCAAAATCAGCCATTAAAATAATTGCTCCTTATAATAAAATTTAGGCGCTATTTATAAAAATGAATCTTCATGCGTGAACAGCCACTCTTAGAGGTGGATGATTGTCTTCAAAATTAAATGGGACCACTATGGAGGTTTCCTCTTTCCAACAAAAAAGAATCATGAAAATCGGTGCTCAAATACCGTACTTATCGCGTAACATGCATACAAAAAGAAATACATACATACAGTACGAATTGAGAACCTCCTCCTTTTTTTAAGTCGGTTAAAAATAGTAGGTAAGGTACCTATACAGGTACATACATACATACGTACGTACGTACGGTAATAAGAATTTGCTTCGATCGTGTGAGATGTGCATGACGTTAGCGAGCTTAGCGAGCTTCTGTAAAGGCTGTGGACTTGGTGCCTTTAAAAACGTGATGCTCTAAAGGTGCGTACAAACCTGGAGAATGCGATCTGCGTGAAATGTAATTACAGAGGCGCACCTAATGCGTGCGACACTTATCGCACCCCTCATGGAAGAATAGCATAAGTGGAGTTACGTCGAAAATTTTTATTGCTCCATTAGATATAGAAAAATATAACCCACATCTTCTCCAATTCTTGTAACTCTATCGACTAATATTGTA